TGTCACTCAGTGAAGAGTCCAAAGTGGACCAATCAGGGCGCGACATGTGGCAGATAGATTTCAGGCTAGGAATGGCTGCCTTCAAGGCCCAAACTCCTAGGCAGCCCAATCAGTCATAGGTTTCCGTAACCTAGGACTTGGCACGTACTTCGAGACCCTATAAAAGGGAGATGTTCCCACCTGGGGAACGACATTGATTCACGAACATTCAAAGAGCATTAATTGCAGAATTCAATACATTTGAGAGTTTACACTCGGATATTGAAGTTGTTTGCTATAGCCGGATGATCACTTCTCTTTCAAGAGGTGCCTGATCCTACTTACATTCCACATTTTATACATCCGAACACGTTCTAACTTGATCGTTGGAGGTGGAGCTCCCACCCACCAGAGTCTCCGTTGTTTTGCAGGTACAGGCGCCTGAAATCCAGCCATGAAATTGTAACTCTCCCGAAGGACAAAGAAAAAACCCCAAAACATTTGGCGCCGTCTGCCAAATAAAAACCCATATGCAAATAATCCAGTCTTGGAATAGTTAGACGATCTAAAAATAACCACTCAACATATTTGATTTCTTGAATCATTTAATATTGGATTAAGTCTCCTTTCAAAGGCAGCATACTAACTAAAAAAGGTCTAAAAAGTATGTTGAACTGGCTTTTCACGTGCAATAAATGATAGATACGTCTCCCAATGGGAAAGGGGCTGCCTGTGCAATGTGCAGGCGGCAAAAATAAAAACCCATCCGCTCCAACGTGAGATATAAGCTAAGTCTAAACAACTTAGCGGCTATGTGTTGTTCCTTTTAGAACAACCCAATGAGGCCTATGGCCGGATGATCTTTATGAGGCATATGGCCGGATGATCTTTTAAGTAAAATACGTCTGCTCCAACATGAGAAGGCGTCCGGCGACATCCATTTGGGTGAATTCGTCGCAAAGAGCATCTCCCATTTGGGTGGCACATTGCTCTATAAACTTAAAAACAACGGCCCTACCGACTGTCAAAAAAAGCAAGCTCGCAGCCGTTTGAATTAAGTAAATGAGACTAAGATGACAAAATTGCCGACTGTTTTAATACAAGCGGTACCCAATTACTATCTTGTTCAGATACCGCCTGCTATTGCTCAGAGGAAATACAGCCGGCTAAATTTAAGGATATAAGCTAAGTCCAAAAACTTAGCAGCTAAGTGTTGTTCCTTTTAGAACAACCTAATGAGGCCTATGGCCGGATGATCAAAATGAGGCCTATGGCCGGATGATGAGGCCAATGGTCGAATGATGAGGCCGATGGTCGGATGATATTTAAAACCGTCTGCTCTAACAAGAGCAGACATAAGCTAAGTCCAAAAACTTAGCAGCTAAGAGTTGTTCCTTTTAAAACAACCTAAAGAGGCTAATGCCCGAATAATATTGAACGCTTACCCACGGGCTCGATGGCCGACAGTTTTGGGGCTATCACCATGGTGGGGCTAAAGGAATAAGAGTTAGCATTTGTCTAGTTCAGCGGCAATCATTATTATGATTGATTAACTTAGAAAATGTCATATCGTTCAAGGTATCAAAACTTTTCAAGTTAATCAAATTCCTCTTTTATTGAACTAGACAGATGCCGACCAAAGAGACTTAAAGAAGCAGCAAAAAGTCTTAATTTCGAAAGGAACAATCCTCTTATAAGAGAGATTACTCCTTCCGAGGGGCTAATGTTTAGGGTAAAAATACCCTTGACATATGGACCAATGCCACTACGACACGTGTCCCTAAGCTCAGCGCTCAACCGATTAGAGCATGACACGTGTCATTCAGTGATAGAAGGGGAAAAACGGGCTCCAAGCCCATAACCCTAGAGGCCGTTAAACGATGGGTAGCCCATCTACTTAGGTTAAATAACCTAAAAGGCACCTGTCCCAAGGCACTATAGATACTGATCATTTACATTAGTTAAAGGGAGAGATGGAATACATTCAATCCACACAAATTACGAGAGTGAATACTCAGATATTGAGGCTGTCTGAGATAGCCGGATGATCACTCCTCTCCTAAGAGGAACCTGATCCCATTTACTTTTCTGCACTTTTTACATCCGAACTCCACCCAACCAGAGTCTCCGTTGTTTTGCAGGTACAGGCGTCCGGAGTCCAGTCTTGATGTTGTAACTCTCCCGCAGGACACAGAAAAAACCCAGAAACAATATTTATCTCCTAAACTTGTGATATTTTTTTGCTTAATACGTGAATTTTATATTTTATTTCACAAAATTTCATATGTGGCTAGTCACATCGTGTGGTCAGGATTACTTGGTCAGGGGTTACTCGATTGGTCAAGGGATATTCGATCGATCAGGAGTTACTCGGACAGTGAGGGGTTACCCGATTAGTGTTTTGATATATCTCAGCCGGCCACACGATATGACACGCCACACGGTAAATGTGTTAATTTTATGATAATAATTAATATAAATTTTAGATCTAAAATAAATTGTAATTTTTTTCTTCATTGGCTAAAATATAATATTTTTTCTATGTGATGCTCAAAAATATCTTGAAAAACTCTCCTTAATTTAACTTTTTGTAAAATTTTATCATAATGGTTTCATTAATCACCCGAATAAATTATTTAATTTTATTCATGATAATTTTTTAAAAATAATAATCTTATGTGTCACTCTGATAATTTTTTAATTTATTGTTATAATCCTACGTAGAGTTTTAAAAAAACTTGTATTATGTGGCATAATCGTATTGTAGCGTTTTAAAATATTAATCCAACGTGGCACTTTTTTTTTTATTAAAATCCTACGTAGCACTTTAAAAAACTTATCTTATGTGGCATAATCCTATTGTAGCGTTTTAAAAATAATAATTATATGTGGTGCTCTAATAATTTTTTTAAAAATTAAAATCCTACGTGGCACTCTAAAATCTCGAGAAAAAACTCCCCTTTATATATATATATATATATATATATATATATATATATATATATATATATATATATACTAGTTTTGTGCCTCGGATGATGTCTGGGTTGTTTATTGAACTTTAAGATAAACTTTTTATCTACATGCTAAATTTCAAAACATATCATTCATACAAATAGTGTTATGTAAGAGGTAAATATCCCTTTTGATTTAGGATATTTTAACGTAAAATACTATTGATATTTGCAATAGTGCAATATAAATTATAGAAATATACACTATATGTGAGATTAATATCTATGTTATTTGAATTTTCTACTCATGGATTAATAATCACTTGATTTTCACTTTTAGAAATATCATCCAATAATTATATGTGGCGCTCTAATAATTTTTTAAAAAATTAAAATCCTTCTTGAAAGTGATGCAAGTAACATGGTCAAAGCAAGTAAAAGAAATCAGTTTGGCGTTGCACCTATTTTCATGTTATTGGATGATATTTCTAAGATAAGTTGTGGTTTTAATGTCTTTAATTGTAATTTAATATTTTTATAAATAAAGTTATAATTTAATTAGTACATATGAAATATTGTTATTTTATTGAAAATAAAACTCTAAACCAACATATTTATCCTAAAAATCTATCCAAATTTTATTGAAAATACTTCTAAACTAACTTTTTTATCCTGTATAATCTATCTAAATCTATTCAACTTTTTTTTATCTTAAAATAAAAGTAATTGTTGCCTAGGTGGTGTGGCACTTGGCAAAAAGTTGTAAAGTCGAGTGTCGCAGTCTCGTGCCCTGGCTAACAGCTTTATTTATTAGTTACCAGTTTTGTGCCCGGGTGATGCCTAGATCGATGGTTGATAAAATTTTAAAATAACATTTTTACTTGAATGTTGAATATGGTCAAATAATTCGTTTTGATAATGTAGGATATTTAGACATATGATATCATATGACTTATATATATATATATATATAATAGTATACCTTTTGTACTTATGTTTGTATAGGATACTTCCTCCGTTCTTTTTTACTTGACCCGCTTTGACTTTTACACTATTCACCACTCTTCTTTTGACCATCTTTTGTGAATTATATATAAGTAAAAAACATATTTATGTGAGATCTTGTTGGATTCGTCTTAATAAGTACTATCATAATATATAAGTTTATATTGTTTACTTATGGAGAATTAAAGTTATTGGTCATTAAAATTTTGCATTGACAAATGTGATTAAAGAAACAGGTCAAGTAAAAAAAACGGAGAAAGTATATGTTATTAATGACTTTAAATTATTTGAACTTAAATTATTTTCACAGAACTGAAAGTATTTTTTACCAATTTAAAATTATTTTTATTGATTAAAATTTATTTTTACCGATTCTCTAATATTTTTTAAATAAATTAAATAACAATGCATTTTGTATGCGGCTAGCCACACTATCTGGCCGGACAAAGTAACCCCTATAAAACTGACCGAGTAATGCTTGTAATACTAACTGAGTAACTAACCTCTAACACTGACTAAGTAACCCCTATCTATAACACTGATTGAATAACCACTATAACACTAACCAAGTAAATCGTATAGCACTAACGAAGTAACTCTTGTAATAGTTGGTGATACAGTTTGGCTAGCTACGTATAAAAGTTTATAAATGGATCTTATTTTAAAGAACTTTTTAAAACGAATTTGTTGATGGAAATAGAATTGAGTTATAAGATATTTATTAAAAGTTATGATTAAGTTTGTATATATGAAATATTATAATTCTATCGATAATAAAACTCTATACAATAATTTTTTCTTAAAAAATCTATCCAAAAATCGCTTATTTAGCATCATGTGTCACAGTAATACGTATTTATCTCCTATATGAAGCAACACTTGGGTGAAAAACTGAAATGCCAAGTGTCGCTGTCTCGTACCTGGCTCCGAGACTGACTTTATTTATTAGGAGATAATATTAGATCTGTGCAATTTTATGGTTTTATTTAAAAAAAAAATCCAATTTATTATTATTTTTTACTTTTTATTATTTTTTTTAACCGACGGAGTTTTGTCATTTATTACAGCCGAAAAATTCAAATTTGAAAGAAGAAGGAAGCGTTACAACATCCAGATTGCCACGAACACAGCCATAACACCAGGAGAGAGATTAGCTCCCTCCAGCCTCCTTCCCTCTTTCCAATTATTCCCTTCCTCTTTCCATCTTTCATCTTCAACCTCTCGCTCTTTCTTCATTCTCTGCAATTCCAATCCCAATTTCCAACCATTTTTTATCACTTCTTCTCTATTCCAATTTGATCCAAAGTTTCACAAAATTCATGAAATCATTTTTCTGTTATACTTAGCTTCCTCTCGATTCTTCTAATCTGATTATTTTTTGATTGATTGATTGGAGAGTATGGCAACTACGCCGCCATTGAATAAGGTGGAGAGAGCTCACCAGATGTATCGTGAGGGACGTTACAGAGAAGCATTAGGGTTTTATTCCGATGCCGTCGTTGTTGCCAAGACTAAAGCGCAGAAGATCGCACTTCATAGTAATCGCGCTGCCTGCTTTCTTAAATTGCACGATTTTAAGATGGTTTGTTTCCTTCTTTCATTGATTTTATTTTCGTAAATGTTAAATTTCATGGTGAAAGTACCTCTCAACATTGTCAATTTCTGATAATTACCTAATTATTTTTGATTCCAAGTTTAATACTTATTTCTGATAATTACCTAATTATTCTGAGCTCTGAATATTGTGAATTTCACGATTTAATGGATTTTCATATGACTATTACTTATTTTATTTTAATTTAGAAATAGTTCCGAATTTTGTACTATAATATTAAGTTTTTTTTTTTTTTTTTTTTTTTTTTTTTAAATAAAAAATAAATCTGAAGTTAGAACTGTAAATGATAGAAGTAATGCGGAGAAAATACATGGTGATCTTCATGTAATTGCAATATTGTAAATACGTGCTCATTTTTTAATGTTCATGAGCAAAATTGCTACTTGAAGTAATGGTTTTGGTGCAAAGTCGCAACTTGAAGTAGTGATTTTGCCATGAATAGTGAAAAGGAAATTTAGAAAATAACACCACAAATTTCACAAAAATTGGATTATAACACCACAAAATCTCAAACTTTTATTATAACACCTCAAAAAAAACAAAACATTTGATTTTACCACCATCTTACGAGGATTCTGGGATGGAATCCGTTAGTGGGGCTCACTGTGGACACGTGTCACTTAGCGATTTGTTTTTTTAAAAAAGATAAATACAAAAAAAAAAAAACCTAAATCCTAACCCAACCCAGCCCCACCACCGGAACCACCTGCCCAAGCCGCCGACAGCCCAAAGCCAACAGCCGGAACCCCCTGACCCCACCTAAACCACCGAATCCACCTAATCCCCCCTTCCTCCTCCCCAAAAACCCCCCCAACCACCTCTAAACTGACGAGTGACGACTCACCCTTTCCCTTTTCCCCCTCCACGAAAAACACCCTAACCCATTTGGCCCACCACGAAAACCACCCTTGAAACGACCATCAACATCGGCCATCGAATTCGACCATTGAGGGCTGCATGGTCGATTTCGGCCGTCTGGAGGATGAAGGATAAGGTATGCGTGGTTTTTCACGGTGGCTGGGTGCTGATTTTTCGGTAGTGGCTGTGCTGGGGTGTCTCTGGATTGGGCTAGGATGGGGCGCCGTGCTATTGGTCGGCTTCGGTGGATTTCCCTCGTGCTGGGGCGCCGGTGGTTGGGGTGGGATGGAGAGAGGTCTGCCAACGGTGGAGGACAGGGTGGCTGGTGGTGGGGCTTGGGTTGTGTTAGAGTTTAGTTTATTTTTTTTTATTTTTTTTAAAAAACCAAAGGTTATAGACACGTGTATGTGGTGGGCCCCACTAACGGATTCCATCCAAAAATCCGTTAAGTGGTGGCGAAATCCAATTTTTGTGGTGTTGTATTAAGAGTTTGAAATTTTGTGGTGTTATAATCCAATTTTTGTGAAATTTGTGGTGTTATTTTCTAATTTTTCCTAGTGAAAAAAAGGGGAAAACCCCTACTTGAAGTAAAAAACTTGGTTTTCTACAAGATCAATGGTGGCGCCCTTGGTAATGTGAGAATTGATTTTCGAAAATCCGAAAACATAAGCACTATTGATAACATTCTACTACCCCAACGCAAGTATAGAGGCAATTAAAGAATCGAACCGCTAGGACTGTCTGACCACAATCACGCAAAACCGAAAACTGTAATCCTTGTATTCTGGGGTTTATGTTGTATGTTATAGAAGGTTCACCTTTATGTAGTCCAGTCATCCCGTGGTTTTTGTTGTTGTCATTTGAATGATTTCCTCTGTGTATATTTCTCCCTATTTTGAACTTTAGAAGCAAAGGGCATACTATGTGTATGAAAACTGCTGTTTACAGCAAATCTGTTATTTTGTAGCTGTGTTACATTACATTATATGTGTAATTTTGTAACAAAAGAAATTTGAATGAAAATTAAGGCGAAAGTATATCTTGATACATAAGCACTTTAAAGCTGATCTACTAAATTGCAAGATCTGCCCCCTAGTAGTTTGTGTATGCACAATGGTGAGTAGTCTGAGTATCATATTATTGATCTGTAGCAGATAATGTATCTTCAACTTTTTCCTTGTGTGAAATCAATCTATGTATTCAAAAGAAATTTTTTTTGTAACAAGGGGGAGGGGTAACATTGATCTGACTCCAGGTCTCTGTTCTGGAAGGCTGGAGCAAGATGCACAAGAGCCACTGCCTTTAATGCGGAAATTGATTCCCTTTACAGAATTTAGCTGAAAGAATTATTTGATTGATATAATGATGGGAGATCGTACTTTTTATTTTATTATACTTCTGATGTTATAGGCAGCTGATGAATGTACATCTGTTCTTGAGCTCGATCATAAGCACACTGGAGCATTAATGTTGCGTGCTCAAACTTTGGTCACTCTGAAGGAGTATCAGTCAGCACTTTTCGATGTGAATCGGCTTCTTGAGTTAAATCCCTCGTCCGAAGTATATCTTAACCTTCAAGCACGTTTAAAAACACAATTGGTATGTCCTCATGTCTTTAGCAAGTGTCAGAATCTAATATATTGGTGTCGTCCGTCCTCCAGCTCCTCCCCCCCCAATATGATTAATAGGTATGTTTTGAATACCCATTCTGCATTTTACTGAATCAAACAGCCGATGGTCATTTGTGCTGCTGAATAACTGATAAATGTTTGTGTTGGTGGTGTGAGAAATTGAAAATTAATAGTGAATGGGATTTTGTTCCAACTGGCATCCATAATATTGTATTGGGTGTATAATGATTTTGAACATAGATTATTGCTTAACCTCCTAGGTATGAGATGATTTTGTTGAGTGAAAATTTGCGATTTAAATATATTATGGAGAGTGACATCTAGATATAGATTATGCGATAAAATGGAGAATATCCAAGTTTATGGTACTGATGCAAGTTATGTGCTATTGCAATTTAAAGATTTGTTTCAGAAACTGTCTCAAATTACCAAAACTTTTTGGGGTTTCTGATCAATTAGGGTCGAATATCAGATTGGTATAAAAATAGACTTCTTTGCCAGTTTGGTATAAATAAAGAAAAAGCTTTGGTCATTTTAAGGTAAAAATTAATGCTCGGCATCATGTAGGCCTTTATTCTCTTGGAATGATGAGTCATGTGCTTGTCTCTACCATTATTTCATTTTTCCTTGTTTCCCTGGTATTGTTCATTCCTTCCTCCTCTTCCCCTGTTCCCTCTTACCCCTCATATTGTGCTACTCCTCATGGAGTACAAATTTGTACATTTGTCCTCGTGTGTGGGGGGGGGGGGGGGGTGGGTTGGGTGGTGGTTTGTTTAATTTTCTATATATTTTGGAATCTTTGTCTAAGCATTTAGAAGGAAGAGCCAATTTCATTGACAACGTGGACTTTATTTCATATCTTAGATTAAGAATGAAGAATTAAAGTATTAAGCATCTGAGATTCTTGTTTTAAAATACATGGAAATTAAATTTCCCCTGTTTCTAATACAAATCCCATCTTTATATTCGTTGACTATTGCTGTTGCAGTTCCGAAATTTTGAAAGCACTTTATACCCTGGTTTTGAAAGTGATGGTCAGGACTGAGAGTGAGACTTTTAATTATATGGCTGATAAATATTCCTATGCTATTTTTCTGTTTGCATCTTGTGTTTTTCCTTCCCTCTATGTTCAGCTCACCAATTTTCTGAGCAATATGTTTCTTTATATCTTATATTTTACTTTGAATCCTGCACTAACAAGAGTTTAATAGTAGCTGAAAAAACATAGGAAGGACTAAATCTATGGAACAGGGAAAAATTAGAGGAAAGGGAAAAGGAGGAGAAAGGAAGGTAAATGTTTAATAATGGGAACAAGCTCCCTCTTGACTAAAAATGAGGGATCAAATGTCTTCCGGCATTTGTTTTTTATAAGTGGCCTAATCTTGTAATATGGGGTGTTCCTCATTAGTAGCCATATACATTTGCACATTTTCATTGGAGCAAATTAATTAAAAAATCACTTAAATAGCATTGAAATTATAAGTTTTCTGTAATATGGTAATATTTTAGTAATTCTCACACAATCAACCTAAAATGGATTTAAATTAACATAACTTCACCACCACACCACCATACCCTCACCACCATCGCGCACCTTCACCACCCTACCTTACCCCCAAAAACACCTTGCCAGCCCACCCCCTCTCCCTAAGCATCCAACCGCCCCTCCCCCTCCCCTTAAACACCCGGCCGCCCCTTCCTTCCCTTCGAACCACCCATTTTGACCCCCACCCCCTGGAAATCCTTACCCTTCCTCTGAAACCCTCAACTGCCCCTCTGAAACCCTCAACAACCCCTTCCTCTCCCTCCAAACCCTTTTCCCTTCCTCTCTTCTCACACCTTTTTCAGCGGGGAATACGGAAGGGGTGGTTGATGGTTTTGCAGGGAGAGGGAAGGGTTTAGGAGATGCGATTGGGTTGTTTGGGGGGAAGAGGAGGGGCAACATTGTGTTTGATGGGTGGGGGGAAGTTCGGGGGGGACGAGAAGGGCAGTAGGGGATTTAGGTGTGGGTGGAGAGGCGGGAGGGGGAGAGGGGGAGTGGGCGGTTGGGTGTTTTTAGGGCGGGGGAGGGGTGGCAAGGTAGTGGTCGTGTGTTTAGGGGTGGGGGTTTGTGGTGGCAGCGGTGGTGAGGTTGATGGTATATGGGTGTGGTGGTAAGAGTGTTAATTAATTAACCAAGGTTAATTGTATCATAATTATTATAATAAAGCTAGATTAGCAAAAGATTGTAGCTTCTATGTTATTTAAGAGATTTATGAAATAAAATTGCTACCAATGAGAATGAGCAAATGTATATGGGCTACCAAGAGAACCCTTTTTTTTTTTTTTTTTTTTTTTTTTTCTCTTTTGGTAATTTTCCCTTCAGATCTAAAAGGTAGTCTATGCTCATGTATCTGTTGTCAATATATCACCTCTTGGCACTCTATTGAAAATGGGTATTGGGCCAATTTTTTTGGGTAATTTTCCCTTCAGATTTTGAAGGCAGTCTATGCTTATGGATCTGTTGTAAATACAACACCTCTTGCTTCAGACCACTTATTTTGATTTGTACGAATGGGATCTACCTTTAACAATTCGCTTAGCAATTCTTAAGAAGCAATTCATTAATCCGGATATATTTTTGAAACTAAAGAGACCATTTATTTTCTCAACTTTGCCTAATGTATATTTATCACTCATCATGTATTCAGTATTCTATGCCTTGCTTTTCATATTATTTCACATTACTCATTTTTCTTTGAAACCTTACTTTATTTTAAGATAAAGTATTAAAGTTTATTTTACATGAAAGCTTTTCTAAATTGATCTATTGGACAAAGTGACAGCTAACATTGTACATGATTCTTGTAACCAAAGGAATCATAAAGACAAATCTTTTGCTTGCTGTGCTGGTCTCTTTTTTTTTTTCTATTTTTTTTTTTGTTAGTTATTAGCCTCTAATAGCAAACAAAGGGTGGTGATTTCTTTTTATTAGCCTACATGCTGCACACCGCTGTTGCTTTAGGTGCTTTCTCTTTGTGGACCTTATCTTTTACACTAAGCTGTTTTTGAGATGGTGTATTTTTTGCTCAAGGAAGTCACTTTCTCCAATACCTGAGGTTGATTCTGAGCTGGAGGAAGATGATGAAGACATTAATGAAGATACATTGAAAAGCTCTGAACAAGAGGATGGAGAAAATAATTATGTGGAAGACTCAACAGGTATAGTTGAGAAACCTGAACCGAATGTCCACACATCTAATGGCTTCATTACCCCTGAAAGCAATGGAAGCCTGAAAGCTGCTGATCCTCATTCGAAGGGATGGCAAACAATCCCAAAACCAAAGGGACATTCTAGACTTGACTATTCACGATGGGATAGCGTAGAAGATGGTTCAAGTGAAGACGACGATGACAATGATGCTGATGAAGAAATTCAGCCACATTTTAGGTTCCGTGTGAAAACTGTTGATGTCAGACCAGTTAAATGAATGTTCATAACTTCATACATATATAGCAAAGGTATCTTGATAAACCTGGGGCTGCTACTCGTTTTATACAAGCATATGCTACGAGAACCTGTGGCTGTCCAGGTTTATGTGGGCACCCTAGCAACTTGATTTGTCCAGAGTCGACTATCTTAGGCAAGCCATTGGTTCATCCTGATGCCTGGTGATTAGGCTCCCTGCAGCTTGAATGTTTATGGTGCTGCTCAAGTCCGCTACATACTAGCCACATTAATATATGCAGAATGCAATGACTGAAAATGTTTGTGAAATGGCATGTCATTATATGTGTATATTTTCATTTGTAAATTACAAATACAGATTTGTTACTTTTTTGTAGAGATGATGAATTGTATATATAAAAGAAATTCATTTATTTTCACCGTTAAGAACTCAGATAGTGCACTCTTTATAAAATTATGCTCACTTGGATAATTTTGTTAATGTCTTTGATTTTAGTGGGAACAAATGTGAAACAGCCACAGGAGACAAGATGGTGTACTCCAATGCAAAGAACAGAACACCCCCCCCCCTCCCAAAAAAGAGGGAAATCGGTGCGCAGATGATTATTACTGTAATACTTTTTCTTATAAACATATTAATCTGACCACAGGCTGATATCTGTAAACAATAATATGACATTTGGCTGATATATCAAAAATAACACACCTTGTTTATTTTAGAATAATATGACTTTTGAAGGGCATTTGCTTTAAATAGAACTTGAAAAACCTATAAATTTAGCCGATTTAGAGCTTGTTTACTAATTTTTACTTATTTGATTTGGTATGATTTGATCTGATCTGATCGTCTGAGTAGACCAAACTTTAACCTTATGTGTATGATAATCTATAAAGAAAAAATATATCTGGTAGGGTCTTGTTAGATTCGTAATAATATGTGTCTTATTACTATGTAATTTAATAATTTTTTTTCCTTACGAAATGTAAAATATTTAGCATAAAAAACCACACAGGAAACAAAAAAGTGTGTCCGAACTTAATTTTTCTAGTTTGATCTAATCTTATATTTTTAAACTGATTTGATCTCAACTTATTTCCTTTGAAATAAGTAAAAATAAGTTGGCCTATTCATGACCTTCATCGGTCCGCTATTTGTTTGTTAGAAGAATTTTTTTAGTTTAATTATAACAATTTCTTCTTTTTCAAAATGTTTTTTTCCTTAAAAAAGTTTCTTTATCGTAAAATCACATCACCCTTCCGACAGTCATCCCCCTCCCCCTTTTGGGCTCCCGCACACCACTATTACCCCCTTCTGCTTCCTGGCCCCATTGTATGTATCGAGATATCGATACTATGGATAAAGTGAAGTTGAGGGAATGGAAAGGATTTGAAAATCTAAAGAAAAGTGATATTTATTTTTAGGAAAAAATCACTTAAAAATCCCAATTATGAGCGATTTACTTCTAATAATCCCAACTAAGGATTATTATTTAATTTTAACTATGCTATCACTTTGCCTGTAGTAGTCCCAACCGGTAAACAAGTGGTCAACAACCTGTTATTACAAGTTACCAAGACACGTGCCAACACGCGATTGCTCCAAAAAAAAAGTAAAAAAATTTGAAAAAAAAGGAGGTGTTTAGGGGATTTTTCCCCGCCACGTGGACCAGTCAGCACCTGCCACGTGTCATCCACGTGGACCATTCAGGGGCTGCCACGTGTCATGCTCCAGGAGGTCCAGCATGGACCAATCGTGCTACGCCACGTGGCCCATTATCTGCCAACTCAGGAAAACGGCCACCTGGGCCCGAATCCCAAGGCAGACCCAATTAGTCCTAGGTTTACCATTTAACCTAGTATGGGGCACGTATTTCGAGACTATAAATACAGTAATTAGCCTTCATTAAAGGAAAAATAGAGTTAATTAATCATCTCACCTAGAGAAGCCTAAACACACGTGCATACTAATCGCTAGACCAGACTTAACATTATTTGCACTCCCCGATCACTCCTCCCCTTCGAGGAACCAGATCACCCTTTTTACTTTCCGCACCTTTTACTCCACATACAAGTACTAACTTGATCGTCGGAGGCGGAGCTCCCACCACCCGGAGTCTTTGTTGTTTTGTAGGTACAAGCGTAAGGATACCAGTCCCGGAATTGTAACTCTTCCGCAGGACATCAAAAAAACCCCGAAACATTTTGGCGCCGTCTGTGGGGAGAGTACTTTCGAGATAGAATCACAGTCTGTACCAATTTTAAGTGAGAAGCGTCCCATGGACGACCCCCTGGTTCAGACGGGCTAGGATACTGATAATGAGATTGAAGTCGAGACTCATACAGCCTCTGACAGGACCTTAAGAGCTCGACGCACCCGTCCCACTGAAAGGAGGGAACGGGAGGACTGCCTGGCTGGATCTAGTAAACTAGCTGGCCAGCCGCTTGATCATCAACAGGTGGCTGAGGGATCTGCCCCCATCACTAGAAACGAATTCATGACCTTCATGAATAGTTTCAAGGGGGAGATCCAGGAGCTTATCAATAAAAGGACGACCGTTCCACCAAAGGAACAGTTGGCCAGAAGACCCTCCCAATCTGGGAGGAAGAAGCTTGTAAAGGATCGGGAGGCGACTCCTTACCCTAAGCCTAGGGCGAGGGAGGAACCAGTGATAGACCTAACTAAGTACCACTTTCCCTCACCAGGGAAGAGAAAGCCCACCCTTCATGTTCAGCCGGACGGGTCAAAGAGAACTTACTTTGATGCCCGAACGTTGCTTGAGCAGAAGAAGAATGACCGACTGTCAGAGTCGGCCTCTACGTCTGATTTTCAAGACAACCTACATAATACCTCCTTGAGGTATTCAAAATCAAATTATGAGAGCCAGACGCCCGGAGCCTCCTCTCGTTCTGCTTCCCAGAAGCATCAGGCGGCCCCGTATGTGCCTCCTCAACCATACGTCCCGCAGTTGATGTGTGGCATTTATGCCACCATTTTAACCCTTTTCACTACCGATTTCCCCCGGCTTTGTCACTTGCTTATGCCTCTTTTCACCCCTTTTATCTTGATTTTTGTCATTTTAGCTCCCTCTCGTATCTTCGCTTCCCTTTTGTCTTTTCTTTTAGTTTTTACCTCCTTTTTCTGTGTTTTGACAGCTCCCAGCGCTCGTGTGCGAATCACGAATTAATAGCTCGAGTGGAGATGCCAAAGGATCTTGCCAAGGGAGTGAAGATGCCAAAATGGAGAGGGCGCGCTGTTCGGATAGGCCGCGGGCGCGGACAGGAAAACCCTGAAGCCAGCAGGAGAAAGTAGAGATGGCGAGCCGCGGGCGCGGAGCATAGGGGCCGCGGGCGTGGCATTGGCCCCGCGGGCGCGGCAGAGAAGACCCGCGGGCGCGTCATTTTCCCCCGCAAGCGCGGCATTCTGGGTTTGACGAGGCTATTTACCCAGCTTGGAGAGGGCGCGACAGCCTGTTCGGAGAGCCCTCTCCCTTGCCCTTTTTCTTCCTTTTGGTAGAAAATTATAAATAGTCTCTTGCTTGAGTTTTTCATTCATTCACTATTCCATTGGCCTAAAATCATTTGTAGAGAGAGAATTTCATGGCTTCTAGAGAGAGAAAACACTAGTGTTCAAGAATCAATCTTTGTAATCAAATATTCAAGCTTTCTTCTAGATTGTTGCTACTACTTTGATGATTTGGTAATCTTTCATCTTTATAATATCAATCTTTACTTTTGTTTCTCTAGTTTTTGATCTTCTTTGTTTTATTGTTCTTACTTGAGTTTACTTTCATAAATATTCAAGCTTTATTAGTTTCTTTGATTTCCTTTCAAGTTAGAATCATGTTAGGTTGCGTTGATATTGAATACATGCTTATGTTAGTTGTTATGGCTATTCCCTTCCTTCTAGCTTAGGTTTTTTGCTAGGGAAGGGGGTGAAAATCATGTGTACTTGACTATCTATTGATTATTGATTGGGACTTATTCTTGAGTTGATGATTTGAGCTATAATATGCTTGGAGTTAGTGTGTGCATCTCTAATCCCAAGAGTCTAGCCCTTGATTGAATGCATGAGAATGATTTAATCTAGGTGTGAATGATTTCATCGACTTGCTTGAGTAGTTGCATGAGAATGAACTATCTTAGGTAGAGTTTATACTCCTAGAATCGGTTTCCTATCAGTTTTCATTAGTACTCCTTGCTCATGATTGAATCCCCCTCTCCCTAGTGCTTTTATCATTGTTATCTCTCTAATCTTGTCCATTTATTTTGCATTTAAGAGTGTTTAATCTATTTCCCTTGTTTTTAGTTTATTCTAGGCTCAATAGTAGTTGGTTTGTCCATAGGATTCTTCAAACACAAATCTAAATACCCCTTTTTGTTACTAGCAATTTCTCCTCGATTTCATATTAATTGTGCTAAATCCCCGTTTCCTTGGGAATCGACCCTACCTTACCGCTATCTAAATAAAAATTGATAGTGTTAGGATAGGAGTTATAAATTGTAATTTTGATCTAGGATAGTAAACTAATGACCTATTGTCCACCGATCAAAATTTTAACGCCGTTGCCGGGGAGACAGCTAGTTTTGCACATTTATTTGCGTGATTTGTGGATTTTGTTGCTTTTTATTTAGTTCTTTTTCCACTTTCTAGTCATTGCTAATTGTTTGCTTAGCTTTGGTGAATGCAAAGAAGATCTCAAGGACCACCTACTCACAACCTTGATCACGAAATCGATCGCACCTTGAGACAAGTCCGTAGACTCTATCAAGAAGAGGGACGAGGTTTTGGTGCTATCTTTGATAGTGAGAGTGATTCTTGTTCCTCACATTCCCAAGGTGACGAAATGGCAGGACAACAAGCGGATGTTTTATTTCGAGAGTTCGGTAATCCGGAGGATTATGAGCTCACCGGTGGGATATTGTTACCCGTCACGGAAACTAACTTCACCATCCATCCTCAATACACTCGAATGGTTCAAGCGGAGCAATTCTCGGGTTCGCCAAGTGAAGACCCCATTAAGCATCTTGATAGGTTCCTTGAACTTTGTGCCATGATACAAACCAACCAAGTTTCTCAAGAATACATTCCCTGGATGCACCTATTCCGGCAATCTCTTGCGGGGAGAGCAAAGAAATGGCTCAAGCAAGTCAAGCCTAATTCTCTCACAAAATGGAGGGAAATTGTCCAAGCATTCTTGAAAAGGTTCATCTCCGAAGAGAAAACCGCCGAGATGAGGAGGAAGATAGCATCTTTTGAACAAGAGGCGGAGGAAAGCCTTAGTGAAGCTTGGGAGAGGTTTAAAGAGTTGGTGCAAGCATGTCCTCACCATGAATACAATCAAAGCTTACTCATGAGGTTCTTCTATGATGGTTTGGAACCAATGTCTCGAGTTAATTTGGATGCGGGGGCGGGTGGACA